CTGTAGCTTATCTTTTCCCCTCTGAGCTGCCAAACAATGTTTAGCAGAGAGATGCCTCTGTTTGTCAGCAGAAACCTGACTAAATTGAGTTCTTTGGTACACAATTTTTGTACTTACACAAAGAGGAAGAAAGAAAATCCTAGAAAAAACAGTTTGAAGAAAGTAATAAGAAATGTCAATAGAGTAGATCACAGGGCAAAGACTGTATATTTAGAGTATAAATTTAAAACTAATACAATGCAAAATATATATGTATGTCTGACGTTTCTTTGCACCACAAATAAAGCATTCTTAAGGTTTCTTTTGTAACAGGACAGTTGCGAAGTTGAATGCAACAGTACAGCATCAACTCTCAGTTAAGTGGCTTTGGAAGGCTTTGCTTTAAAGCCTAAGTATTGTATTAAACAAGAGGAGGGATTAGGGATTGGGGCGGGGGTGAGGGGTGGGGAGGGAATGGCCTGAATAGTGGGAAATGAGACACATCCAGAAAGGTAGGGAAGGAAATTATCATGAATACTGCTGCATTTTGCAAAGATTCATTCCCTAATGGAACAATTTCCCAGAAAAACAGAAGGCTTTCTCTGATTAGAACTATAAGTCACAAAGAAGAAAAAAGTTTGTTATCAGTTTTTATAAATATTGAGTTAAAACAGGGGCCATATGCCTCATATTCTGACCTGTGGGTCTAAATTAAAGTTGGTTTAGTATATAACCACTGATTCATTATAGCTCCCTAAGGACCACAGATGCTTCAAACTAGAAGGAAGAACTTTGGAAAATCTGTTTAGCACAATTTTACTCGACCTTAGCCAAAAGGCCAAGAAGCAATATTTAGGGCAATTTCAGTCAGTTTTAAAAGCATTCATTAGATGCTTATAAATGATCCATCAGGTAAAGAAGAAAGCCTGTAAATAAACCAAACTACAAAAAAGCATTCTAAAGGCGTGTGCAAGGCCAACGGCCACTCTAAACAAAATTATGACATTAATTAGCATTCTACTGTTTTTTTTCATTCCCTTCTCTGATGCCTCTCTCTACTTTCCCACTCCAGATACTTATACTTAACTTCCACTAACTTTGCTTTCAACTAGTAGCCAATTAATAACAGAGATGTGTTAGTAATGCTCCCAGAGGTATTTGCATCTGAATGTAAATTATTTGAAAACTAAATAAACTTCAATCAGCCTCAAAGGCAGTACTTCTCAACCTTGGCTGCACATTAGAATTACCTAGGGAGTTCTTAACATTCAGGCCACAGATTTAATTCGTTAGGAGTGTGGCCTCAAGCATCAGAATTTTTTAAAGTCCTCCAGGTGATTCCAACGTAAGGCCAAAGTTGAGAACCATCAGTTTAGGGAAAGCATTTGAAAAAATAAAATTTCAAAGCTAGTAAAGGAGATGTTTTTGAGTGGAGATATGTCATGTTGCTATGTTGAGGTTGCAAACTGGTGAAAAAGTTCTGTTCAAGGTAAAGGACCATTTTTATTATGAGAGAAAATGCTCATAACAAAAAAAATCACTAGAGACTCAATTTGTAAGTCTTGATTTTAGCAAGCTACTTTGCTGGAGTTTTATTTATAAAATAAAAATAATAATAGCAATGACTATCTCTTGGTGCTGTTGAGGATGATCAAATGAAACAGGGCACCAGAAAATGTTTTATAAACTGTAAAATTTTATTATGACATAGCTGAGCAGTAGAACTATTTATCATTAAAAAGACTAGTTGTAATGTGGATTATAACTATAATATGGATTATTACCTAAAAGATTTGTCATTTTGTTTTAATAGGTACTTCCTGAAATCTAAGTGTCTAGCTCAGTGTTTCTTGAAGTATGGTTCCCAAACCAGTAGCACCAACATTACCTGGAAACTTGTTAGAAATGCACATTCTTGGAGTCTACCCCAGACCCACTGAATCAGAAACTGGAGGCATAACCTTGCAATCTGTTTGAACAAGACATCTGGGTGATCTGATGCATACTAAAATTTAAGACTTCACATCTAGCCAAGCATTAGCAAAAAGACACTATGTATGACTAAATCAAAAGTTGAATATACAGTATTGTTATTGAACCTTTAAAAGTCACAGTTCAAAGGCATACTGGCATAAATTACTACTTAAAAAAAACTTCCTAAACTTTGTATTTTATTTAATTTTTATTTTTGAGGAAGATTTGCCCTGAGCTAACATCTGCTGCCAATCCTCCTCTTTTTGCTGAGGAAGACTGGCCCTGAGCTAACATCCGTGCCCATCTTCCTCCACTTTACATGTGGGACGCCTGCCATAGCATGGCTTGACGAGCGGTGGGTAAGTCCGCACCCAGGATCCAAACTGGTGAACCCCGGGCTGCCGAAGTGGAATGTGCTAACTTAACCACTGCGCTACCAGGCTGGCCCCCTATTTATTTTATTTTATTTTTTTTGAGGAAGATTAGCCCTGAGCTAACATCTGTGCTCATCTTCCTCTATTTTCTATGTGGGATGCCTACCACAGCATGCTTGATAAGCAGTGCATAGGTCTGTGCCCTGAATCCAAACTTGCGAAGCCCAAGCTGCTGAAGCACAGCAAGAGAACTCAACTGCTGACGCCACCGGGCTGGCCCCAAAACTTTATATTTTAAAATAATATAATTCTCACTATCCAGCCAAACTTTACCAATTAACACATTAATCATGAATACAATGGTAGTATATAAATTTGGGAGTTGGATAAATTACAGAGTATACAATACTTTGGATAAGGAGTAAAGAAACAAAACTCTAGTAGGAGTAACAACGGTTCAGAAATAGTCAAATTTTAATTCACTGGGCTTGAGTTTCTCTCAGAGGAAGAGTCACATCTATATCTTAAAAATCACATTTATCCTGAAGACAACACCCCACAGCATCTCAATGTTCTTATTCAGGCTGAGGAAGTGTTTCATCACCGACTCAGAGAGAAGACCGTTACTGGTACTGAATCACCACCAATGCTTCCTGCAGCAGCAGATTTGTCATTGAGTCTGCTAAGCAACAGAAAAACAGTCTCAAAACTTCTTATCTTACAAGATCTCAAAAGAGACAGCTGTCAACATTGCTCCCAAACTCAAAGTCCAAAGATCTTGCCATTAATAAAATATATGCAGGACAGCAATAGGTGAGAAGATTGTGAGGTTGCAAAAGAAAGTTCTTTGAGATCTTTCTTATTTTCTCTTTTTCCATTTTTAAAAGTTCTGGCAGCCTCAAGACACCTAGCATCACCCTGGAAAGATGAGAGTGGAGTATCCCAATTAAGAACTGACTTTGGTATTGATCCGTAGTTCCTTAGTGAAAACTAGGTAGAAATGACTTTTTCCTGAAAGATTCCTTAAGTATAGATGAAGTTCCATTTACTATTACCAAGCAGCTGACTCTGGCTCTCTACTTTGATCAAGATTCCTGAGTCCTAAGGCATTTTACTTCCCTCAATCACAAGCCTTCTGTATAAAAGGGTATAGGAAGGTTAAAAGGGTATAGGAAGAATAGAGATATCCGTACTCTATATCCTAGGAAATATTTTCCACCTATTCAAAGTAAACAAAGAGAGGAGCTTGGTTTTACTTATTCATTCTAACCAAAACTATGCTGTCTCTCCTGGGCAATCCCTTCGCTCCATCTCATAAGAAAATTAGCAATTCTAAACACTCATTTCTCATATTGGAAAGAACTAGCACAAATATATAATTACCAAAATAATTAATTCCTTGTGTTCATTCACTCATTTATAAACATTTATTGAGTGCCTAGTATGTTTCAGACATTGTTCTAGGTGCAAAATGAGTCTAGAGGGATGCACAGCCTTCAGTGATAAGGACACAGATTCTATGTGTCTAGAGTGCTAGGTTTTGGTTTCTCTGTCAACCATGACCAGTGGTACTCAAACTTGAGCAAGCATCAGAATCACCTGGAGAGGTTGTTAAAACATAGATTGTTGGCCCCCACAGAAAGTTTCTATTCAGTAGGTTTGAGATGGGGCCCCCAAATTAACATTTCTTATAAGTTCTCAGGCGATGTTGATGCTGCTGGTCCAGGGGCCACTTTGAGAACCACTTACCAAGTAAGACAAATTGCAGCTCTTCACACTATGCCTGCCAACTTTCAAGCACTGGATATCTCTCTTCCAAAGAAGGCAATGGCCTCGTGAATGCTGTCATATCACAACTGAGCAGCATTCTGGTTCCCAGAACCACCTCAAGTATCTAGGATCAGTAGCTCCAGAATAGAAGAAAGAAGTATAAATAACAAAGAAGAGAAAATTCTCTCTCCGGGGGCTTTTCTCCCTCCTCATGTTTTTTTCGTTTAATCTCCTATCACAAGAAATCACTTTTGTGTTATGATTTCTCAATACAAGTGTTATGGACAAGAATAACACTCATTAAAGATTTTTCATACTTCTTTACTTTCATAAAATCATAGATTTTCTTCTAAATTCAGTTCTCATGGCCTTTTTTTCTTTTTTGCTGAATTATCTCCTTTTTGAACAAAAGAATCATAGGGTTAGAAGGAACATTGAGAATTCACATAATCCCTCCTTGGCCTCAGACAAGACTGTGTCTAAACCATCGCCAAATATAGCAATTTTCAGTACAAAGACGAACAGGCACTAAGAATTTCCTATTCAACATTCTGTCACATCCTTGAAGATACTAATATACTTTCCCTCAGCCTTCTCCTCTCCAAGCTAATCAGCCTCAACATTTAGACTTTCCTCATTAGATTTCCTAAACTTTGAATTATTTTGACTCTTCTTTAATAAGCTTATCCCATCTTACTTCAGGGACTGAATTATGTATATATTGTTATGAAAACATTTTTGGAAGGGGGAAGTTAATTGATAGATTGAATAAGAAGGAATTTAATTGAAACAAAGAAAGATATAAGTATAAATGCCACTAAAATATAATATAATGGCATTAACTTAAATAATTAATGTCAAATATCCTTTATTTTACTAAAAGAAATAGTAACACCCTATAGTTTTTAAAACTTTACATTATAAATCACCAGCCATTTCATACACAAAATGGATGGGAATTAGAAATCTTTTTAAATATGCCACAAATTATACATAACCATGTTTCATGACAATTCACACAGGAGAAAACATTATTCTTATTCATTTGCTTTTTTATTTGGTATAGTGTTTACTACTTAAGTTGTAGTTGTCAATCAATGATTTTAATTCTATATGAGTCTAAAAATACTGAATCTACTATATGATAATCATTTCTGTGAAAATAATTTCTCTGATTCAAGCCTTAAGAATCAGAGGTGTTTAGAGATTCAGTGAGTACGGGACAAGATAGGATAAAGTCCATGTTAAATCATATGTTTCTGAGCAGTTTAGAAAGGGAAAGTAGGTAATACATTGGAATATGGGGTAAAATGGGATGATCCACTTTATTTCAATTTTTCCCGTTCTAAATATCACTACTGAAAACTTAATCTTTGCTTTTGGAATGGTGATGTGCTCTAGTCCAGCCTAGGCCTGAGGGATGGGTTTGTTTCCTTGCCTACTGGGATCAAGGTGTACGGTGGAGGCGATGCATTTAGTCTCCAGAGAGAAGGAAGATGCTGCTTGCACAGCACTTCTACTCACCAGTCCATGCAGCAGCAAGGGTGTTGGCTTTGAAGGAAGCCAACTGTCCTGCTCTCCCAGCCAGAGGTAAAGAATTGCATTGGTGGCCACTAGAGGGAGGAGGATTAGGAATAGAGTAAATTGTGGGGAAAAGGCACCCATGAAAAACGCACATGGGACAACCAACACATCACCAACCACCGCCTAGCAGCTACCTCTCTGAGGGACTATAATGGGGTCAGCATACACCATTAACTTAGAGACCCAGACACCAGTAATTATTGTAGTTTCCCAGTATATAGTCCCTTAACTTTGATGGGTGGAGAAGGGAATTTTAATAGGATTGTGGGAAACACACAAGCACACAAACACAAACACACAGCACACAGACATACATTCTCATCCCCCATTACAAGAAGTTGCATCTGTGCCGTCTGATTCTTGCTCATTTTCTTATTTAAAACTCTTGATGTTCTTTACCAAGAATGCGTTCACGAAAAGCATACAGCCCACCTTCAAGATAGTCTTGGGAGAAGCACCAGCAGAGACACTCATTGTGCCAAGATGTATTTTACCAACAAATCTGTACAAATTACATGAGGTTAAAAACAAACGGAATATAATATAATTAAAGCAAAGTTTCTTTTGCTAAATTACAGCTTGAAGCAAACCTGCAAGAAATGTTTCCAATTAGCTTCTTTAGCAAACACAAACCATAGCTCAGAGTATGTTTTGCTTTCCATCCTGCCCTCTGGGTGGGCTGCCTAGTGGGTGTCTTACCTCCAGCACAAGTAGCTGAGCATTCTGACCAAGGCTGATGATTCCATGTAAAGCCAACTTCATTGTCTCCACTGCCAGTCCGAGCGATGGGAACGTTGAACTTATACCTAATTCCCAAATTCTGTTCCTGAAGCAGAACCTGCCATTGAAAACAACTGGTGAAGATAATTAAAATATAATGAGCCTTCACTCAGATATTTATTATTTCTTTTGAAGAAGAAAATGTCCATAAAGTAAGTCTTATAGGAAATTTAAGATAACCTTTAGAACCACATGCACTTATACTGGAATATCCTCCTCCCATTTTCATGCGTAATTTGGAGTCATTTCTCTCACCTGCCCTTGTTCGGTTATAAAAATATTATTCAAGCAGGCATTGAAAAGATCAAGCAGTCATTTGGAAAAGAGCACTACGGCCTTAACTTTACACATATTTTACACCCTTAGGCAAACCATTTTACCTTTATTTACCTTAATTTCACCACCTGTAAAACAGAGATAATAAAGCCTGTCCCTTTCTACCTCAGAGGGCAGATTACAAACAGTAGAAATGAAATGGCAAAGACACATTTACCATGACAATGAGATTTTCTGAGGTGGGACCTAGAGCTTCCAAGGATTCTGGTTCATCAGTTGGTCTCTTATAGTGAAAAGCTGTCCCAGCAACATCAAACTTCCTAGGCCAGTCAATAGTCCAGGCACCATTAATATAGTAATCATCCCCTTCAGATTTTAAGGCTAAAAAAAAACAAACAAAAAAAAAAACACAGTCCACCTAAAAATGTGAAACTTCATTTACTACAATGTCACTGACTAATAATAACTGCACTGAAGTGTACAATGAATATCTATGTCAATTTAGAGATGGGATTCTTGACCATTTTCCTAAGTACAGATTAAAAGGGTAATTTCCCATGTGAATGTCAAGAAGATATTAAGTATAACGTTACTGATAGAAAGAAATGAAAGGTTTATCTGAAGAAATGAAAAGTTTATGTGTTTATAAACATGTGGAATTAGCAAGAAAAATTATGACAAAAGGAATAACTAGGGGTGGGGGTGGGAGGTAAGGAGCACATTTTCCTGTCCAAATATTAAAACAGTAATTATATGAATAGGGGTAGCTCAGAGAACCTGTAGTACTGGCATGGCACACAGATTCACAGAACAATGGAACCAAAGAGACAGTTAAGAAATAAACCCAAGTACATATAAGATTAGTATACGACAAAGGAAGTGTCTTAAATTAGTAAAGGAAAGATAACAAGAAATGGAACTAAGACAAAAGACTAGCCTTTTGGCAAAATATATAAATAAATATCGCTGAATTTATATCTTGATCTTTATATAAGAGTATATAAAGAATGAATACCAATATATAAGAATAAATACCACAATTCTACTCTTAAGTATATATCTAAAAGAAATGAAAATAGGTACTTAAACAAATATTTGTACACATATGTTTATAGTAGCGCTATTCCCAATAGCCAAAGATGGAAACAGCCCAAACGTCCACCAATGGATGAATGGATAAACAAACTGTGGTATATACAATACAATGGAATACTATTCAGCCATAAAAAGGAGTGAAGTATTGACACACGCTTCAATGAGGATGAACCTCAAAAAACATTAAGTGGAACAGACTAGACAGAAAAGGTCACAAATTGTATGATTCAATTTATGTGTATAGGCCAATCCATAGAGACAAAAAGCAGATTGGTGGTTGACAGGGGCTAGGGAATTTGAAGTAACTGCTTAATGGAGACAGGATTGCGTTTCAGGTAATGAAAATATTTTGGAATGTACTAAATGCCAATAAACTGTTCACTCTAAAATGGTTAAATTCTATGTTATCTTACTTTCATCTCAACAAAAGCAAAGTTAAAAAAAAAAAGAGAGAGAAAAAGGATAAATGCCAGATGGTTAAATATTTAAATGTAAAATAAATATAGTTAAATCACAAAATGCTAGGAGAAAATGTGGGAGAACTGTTCAAAAAATAATATCAAGGTATGAAAAGCTCTGCAAATCATGATTTTAAAAACTCAGGAACTATAAAGGGAAAGATTAATAAATACACAGGCATACTTTTTAAAAGCTCCATAAAGAAAGAATGTATTAAAAAAGTTTAAAAATAAGTGACAAAAAAGGGTTATTATTAGCACTACTACAAAAAAACTCCTATAAATAAATAAGACAGTGATAATTTTGATAATGATTATCATGATTTGACAATGAGAAACATGTCAGTTTACTGTTTTGTCAGTATGCTAGTTCCTTCAAAAACTTTAATTTATCAGACCAGGTAAACAAGCAGCTCAAAAGGACTAAAAGCGGTATAGTACAGAGAGTTTCTGAATCTCTGGACCTCCTCTGCTTGTCCTTAATATTATAGACCATTTTCATTCCCCAACTCCCATCTGCCTGGCAAATACACTTGTGGTTTCTTGACTTCAGCTATGTTGTAAAGATTGACTTAATTGTCAATATTAAATCAATTAACCTGCTGAGATAGGAACATAACCGATTTTAAGGATTATTTAGTCTTAAATTTAAAATTTTTATTTTCAACCCTCACAGTGGTTTCCCATCTCATTTAAAACATCAAAATTACTTAAGTTGTAGAAGGACATTTGAGCGTGTACAATATGACATAGTAAAAACAAAAATAAAAACAAAACCCCAGCAGCTTTGAATTCTCCTTCTATGTGAGCTCTCACTCCCCATTTTCTCCACTACTCAGTGAAGGGATCCTAACTCACTTTTGCTGGTACCATATTGTAATTCAGAAATACATCCAGCATTTTAAGAAGGACTGAATAAGAATTTACTAAGGGAGAAGGATGTGGCATCATGGACAGAGAATTAGCAAAGGGAAAAATCTGATGTTAGAAACCTTATTTTTGTTTTGAGTCTTGCTGATGCAGAAAAGAATCCAAAATTATAGTGTAAAAATAAAAAGGTCTTTTTAAATAAAGGAAGGAAGAGTGTGATGATACTGGTGTTCTATCTAAACATACATTCTAGATGTAATCTTATTGTTAAAATATTTAAAGAAAAGAGGGTGATATTTAAAGGGAGTAAGGACTTGTCCAGGTCTTTCTAGGGGCCTCTTGAAAGTCTAAATCTGTCTCAAAGGATCAAACATCAAATAAATGAAATTCCCACTTCTTCCCACGTTGAAATAACTGGTACTGGACTTGCCCTCCAACTGTTAATAACTAGAAAACCCACAAAATATATGAATCAGATATTCTTAGAAATTGGCCAGGACTGTGATACATGCAACAAGGTGAGTCATATAATCTCTCAGCTTTCTGCCTGGAGGCACTTTCTGTCAGTGTAGAATGGAAGAACCCAAGCAAAGCCTGGTGGTCTCACCAAGTTAGAAGACAGAGATCAGAAATTGGGAAGGCTAAGACAGCTGGAATTAGCAGCATCAGAGAACTAGAGTAGGAGGGAATCTGTTGCTGAATAGTAATCTGTGTATGCAGAGGATAAAATTCCATGAAGCCAGGCAAAAAAACTACTAGGGAGCTATAAGCAGAAAAATTTTCAGAGCAAGAATTCAGAGTTTCAACCACTAGGGCATTCAGTAGAGACCCAAGAAGAATCATGCCTTTTCAGTAGGGCTGAGTAAACTCTAGAAATAAAGGCTACTCTGGACTCCTCCAAACAAAGCTCAAAAACAAGCCTCAAAAGGATCAAGCTCATCTACATGTTACTTAACACTCTTTAAAGAAAGAAAACAAAATCCAGACTCTCAATAAAAAAATACTCACAATGTACAAAACACAATGAAAAATTACTACAAATGGAAAAAAGCAGGAAAATGGGACCCAAACCAAGAAGAAAGCCAAGTAAAAGAAACATTCAGAAATGACAGAAATTATGGAATTAGCGGAACATTTGAAATAGCTATTATAAATATACTCAAGGATTTTAAAGGAAAACAATTATAATGAGAAGAAACTGGAAGATATATATAGATGGATGCTCAGATTTATGCAAAGAAAGGAAGTAATAATTTTTTTTATTTTTTAATTTTTAAAAAGATAATTGACTCTTTAAAACAAAAATAATAACGTATTGTGGGATTTATAACATATGGAGAAGTAAAAGGTATTTTAAAAAAAATAGCACAAAGGATGGAAGAAGACAGTGGAAGTAAACTGTTGTAAGGGCTTTGCATTATACACAAAATGGTGTAATATTATTTGAAGGTGTACTGTGATAAATTAAAGATGCCTTTTGTAAACTTTAGAGCAACCACTAATTAAATAGAACAGAAAAGTATAGTTATAAGCCATTAGTAGAGATCAAATGGAATACTACAAAGCACTAGATTAATCTAAAAGAAGATATAAAAGGGAAAAAAACCACATAGAACAAACAGAAAAAAATAGAAAAATACCAATGATATTGATAATTACATTAAATACAAATGATCCAGACAAGGAGTTGGCAAACTATGGCCTACCACCTGTTTTATAAATAAAGTTTTATTGGAACACAGCCACACTCATTCATTTATGTATTATCTATGTCAGTTTTCACACTACAATAGAAGAATTGAATAGCAGAGACAGAGACTGCATGTCCTATAAAGCTGAAAATATTTATTACCTGGCCCTTTATAGAAAAAGTTTGTCAACCACCCCCCCATATAGCGATTGCAAATAGCTATGCAAAAAAGCATAGATTGTTAGACACAATAAGAAATCAAAATCAAACTACATGCAGTCTACAAGAGGCATATTTTAAATTCAGAAACACCTATATGTGAAAAGTGGATGAATGGAAAAAAAGATTTACTATGCAAACACTAACCAGAAGAAATCTCAGTGGCTAGAGAAGTATCAGACAAAATAGACTTCAGATCAAAGAACATTATCAGGAATAAAAAGGAACATTTAATAATGATAAAATGTTCAATATATCAAGAAGATATAATCATTGTAAATGTCTATACACCTAAGACCAAAGTTTCAAAACAAATAAAGCAAAACTTTACAAACAAATGAAAGAAATAAATTCACAATTCTATTTGGAGATTTCAACATGATTCAGTAATTGCTTAAACAAGAAGGCAGAAAATAAGTAAGAATATAGATGACTTGAACAAAACTAGCAGCCAATTTAGTTTAATTGCCATTTATGGAATAATAAACCCAATAACACCAGAATATACATTCTTCTCAAGTGCACACGGAACATTCACTAAGATAGACCATATGCTGGGCCATAAAACAAACCTCCACCAAAGAACTAAAATCATACAAAGGATGTTTTCTGCCTATAATAAAATTAAACTAGAAATCTGCACCAAAAAAGATCTGGGAAACCTCTAAATATTTGGAAATTAAATAATACTTTCTAAGCTGAGTCACAAAGTAAACAAGAAAATACTTTAAATTGAATGATAATGAAAATATAACATATCAAAATATGTGGGATGAAGTTAAAGCAGGGAAATTTATAGTACAAAATGCTTATTTTAGAATAGAAAAAAGATTTTAAAAATCAATAATATAAGTTTCTATCTTGAGAAGCTAGAAAATAACATACAAAGTGAATAGAAAAAAATAATAGAGACAAGTGGGAATCAATATAATGGAAAATGGATGAGTAATAGAAAAAATCATTTAAGCTAATAGGTTGTTCCTTGAAAAGATCAATAAAATTAATAACCTCTCACTAGAATAATCAAAAAGAAGAAAACACAAATTACCAATGTGAGAAATGAAAGAAGAGTCATCACTACATATCCTACAGACATTAAAAGGCTAATAAGGGAATATTATGCACAACTTTATGCCAATAAATTCTACAACTTTATAGCTATTATGAAAATTGAATTTTTCATTAAAACTTCCTACAAGGAAAACTCCAGTCCAGATGGCTTCACAGTTGAATTCTATCAAACATTAAGAAATAATACTGATTTTACTCAGACTCTTTCAGAAAATAGAGGAGAAAAGAACACTGCCCAATTCAATTTATAAGGCCAGGTTTATCCTGATATCAAAACCAACAAACACATTACAAGACAATACTACAGATCAGTACCCCTTATGAACATAGATGCAAATATTCTTAATAGAATATTAGTAAATCAATTTTAGCAGTATATAAAAAAGATAATATATAATGAAAAAGTGGTTTTTATCCCAAGAATGCTAGATTGATTTAACATTTGAAAACCAATCAATGCATTTACTATATTAATAGGGAAGAGGAGGAAAAAAACAACACATGATCATGCAATAGATTCAGAAAACCTCAACATCCATTCATGAAGAAAACTTTCAGAAAACTAAACATAGAAGGGAACTTCCTCAACCTGATAAAGAGCATCTATATAAATCTTCTGGCTAATTTCATATTAAATGGTGAAAAAACTAAATGCTTTCCCTCAAGATCAGTAACAATGAAAGGATGTCCACTCTCCTCACTTTTATTCAACATTGTACTGAAGGGCCACTATTATAAGGCAAGAAAGAAGAAATAAAAGGCATAAAGATTGGAAAAATAGATGTAAAACTGCCTTTGTTCAAGCATGACATGATAATTTATGTTGAAAAGGAAACCTACAAAACAACTATTAAAACTAATAAGTGAATATAACCAGGTCATACGACATGAAGTAAATACAAAAAGAAATCAATTGTATTGCTACATAATAACAAACAATTCAAAAATGAAATTAAAATTTTAATACCATTTACAATAACATCAAAAAGCATAAAATATTTAGTGATAGACTTCAGAAAAAATAGGTGTAAGATCTATGCATTTAAAATAAACACTGGTGAACAAATATAAAGACTTAAATAAATATATAGGGAAATATTTTCATGTATTGGAAGATAATATCTTAAAGATGTCAATTCTCCCCAAACTGATCTACAGATTCCATATACAGTCATGTGTCACATAACGACGTTTTGGTCAACAACAGATGGTATATATGATGGTGGTCCCATAAGATTAGTACCATATAGTTGAGGTGTGTAGTAGGTTATACCATCTAGGTTTGTATAAGTACCCTCTAGGATGTTTGCACAATGAGGAAATCACTTAACGATGCATTTCTCAGAATGTATCCCCATCGTTAAGTAACAGACGATTGTAATCTCTTTTTGCAGAAAGTGATAAGTTGATTCTAAAATGCGTATAGAAAAGTAAAGGATCTAGAAAGGCAAAAATAATTTTGACAAAGAAGAACAAATTTAAGGACCTTATGTTCCTATTTTTAAGACCTACTGGAAAGGTCTATTAATCAATACAGTGTGGTTTTGGTTTAAGGACAGACATATATATTAACTGGAGGGAATGGAAATAGACCCATACATTCATGTTCAATTGATCTCTAAAAAAATGTCAAGGTAATTCAATGGGGAAATGACAGTCTTTTCAACAAATGGTGCTATAATAATTGAGTTCTATATGAAAAAAACTGAATCTCAACCCTTACTTTATACTTTATATAAAAACTCAAAACAGACCATATATATAAAAGTAAAAGCAAAAACTATAATTTCTGGAAGAAATACTGGGGACAATATTTGCAACCTTGGCGTAGGCAAAATTTCTAAGGTAGAACACAAAAGCCCAAACTATAAAAAAATTAATAAATTAGATTTCATGAAAATTAAAAGACATCATTAAGAACAGGAATAAACAAGGCACTGACTAGGAGAAAGTATTTATAAAAGATATATTTGAATAAAGACTTGTATCTAGAATATACAAAGGACTCTCTAACTTGATAAAAACCAAAAAAATTAAAAATAGGCAAAATACTTGTTTAGATGTGACAAAAAAGATATATATATGGGTAAAATTTAAAAGACTGACAATATTAAGTATTGACAAGGATGTAGAGCAACTGCAACTCTTCAAAATTACTGGTGGGAATATAAATGACACAACCCCTTTGGAAAAGAGTTTAGTAATTTCTTAAAGTTAAACATGTACTTATCATATGACACAGCCATATTACTCCTAGACTTTTATCCAGGAAAAATGAAAATATATGTCCACACAAAGCTTGTCTACGAATCAAAAAAGCTTTATTCATAATAGTCAAAGACTGGAAATGACCCAAATATCTACCAACAAATGAATGTATGAACAAATTATGGAATATCCACATAATGGAATATTATTTGGCAATAAAAAGGAATGAACTTTGGATATACTCATCAATATAGATAAATCTCAAAAACATTATGTTGAGCAAAAAAAGCAGATGTAAGAGTATATACTGTATGATCCAATTTATGTCAAATACCAGAACAAATAAAAGTAAAATACAGGGGGCCAGCCCGGTGGCACAGTGGTTAAGTGCACACGCTCCGCTTTGGCAGCCTGGGGTTCGCCAGTTCAGATCCTGGGCACGGACATGGTACCGCTTGGCACGCCATGCTGTGGTAGGTGTCCCACATATAAAGTAGAGGAAGATGGGCATGGATGTTAGCTCCAGGCCAGTCTTCCTCAGCAAAAAGAGGAGGAACGGCAGTAGTTAGCTCAGGGCTAATCTTCCTCAAAAAAAAAAGTAAAAATATGTAACATCAGAAAAGAGATCAATGTTTGCCTGAGGCTAAGGCTGAGGGGATTTGATTGTAAAGGCAAATAAGAGAATGCTTTGGAGTCATAGAAATGTTCTATGTCTTGGTTGTGTTATATATATATATATATATATATGTATATGTGGCATTTACATATATACATATAATTATTACTCTATGAACTGTATACTTACAATGGATGCACTTTATTATATGTAAATTAGACCTCAATAAAATAGATTTTAAAAATCAAATAACCAACCCAGTGAAGAGTAAGCTATAAACTACTACTTTTTTGTTTAGTTCTCACGTGGTCCTATAAAACTTGGAACTTCCTTCATTTTAGCATGAAAGAATTCTATCTCAAAGCAGTATGTCTTTTCCTTCATGATACTGTGCTGCTTTTCCTCACTAATTTTTAAAATCTAGCAAAATATGCTACTTACCAATATAGTTCTTTGACATGGCAACTTCTCTGACTTCAATATGAACAGAGCCTCTTGGTATCTGCACTACTTCCATGTAGCCTGGAACACAGAAGACAGCCAGTAACAAGCAGCATCTGCAGCCTTGGTCAGAAAATGAGTGCTGAGTAACCATTCAGTTACAACAGTTTCCTTCTTCTTCCATTCTTCCTTTGATTTTGCACTTTTACAATTATGAAATATGGGCAAATTCCCCTTTGGGTTCATGAATACATCTAGAGTATTTTTCTTTTTCTCTAAAATTATCTCAAGTTATCTTTAAAGCCTCAACATGTATAATATTGGTTCATGTTTTTTCCTCAACACATGGCCCTCACATTAATGCTCTGCGGAAATTCCCATCTTAAAGAAACATGGCTAAATGAAGTCAAGTAGAAAGGAATAATATTTCCTTAAAATATCCTACATGAAGCCACATGTAATACTTAAAGGACTGAAAGCAATTTGGGGAAAAAACATTGTCTGCCTAAATAAAGAAATTTAAAAATAAGCGGGGAGGGGAAGTCAAGTGTTTTGGCTATTCCAAGTACACCAGAGGTGTGAGGAAGAGTTCTCTCTACACACTCACCTCCTCTGGGCAACGAATCATTGAAGAACCCTTCAATGGCATCGCATGTGCTTCCATCCCCTCCACAGACTCGACATCTATCTTCCCTAGCATCGGATCCCAAAATATTATCACAACCTACATGCTGAAAACAGAGAAGAATATTCAGTATGTGAAAAAGAGAAATTCTTGGAATCATAACTAACCAAATAATATAATTTGCTTACTACCTGTTTTTCCAGTAAAGAAAATCAAAACAGGAAATATTTTCCTCTTTCCACTTTTACCTTCACTCTCCAGTAAGTTCTGGCTAACATTTTTCAACATATAAGTTTAAAGAAAAAACCCTCTGATTCCCCAGGAATGTATGTCTATATTTCTAACCTGGATCTCTTCTTCATTTATTGATACCATGCTCCAATTCTTAAAATATTTTAATTTGTTAGCAATGGGTTCTGATTTATACTCTCAATCAAGAAATGCAAGAATTAAGAAAAATGGCATATGGTCCTATACAGGATTATAACAGTATGAGTCTTGACTGAGCATTACGGTTTGCCTTTTTCAAACCACAGGCTCTTTTGGATATCCAATTGTTAGTGTCAAGGATTAGTTGTGGAATTCACGCCTGAGTAAATCTTAAAAAATGAATACCTGTTTCCACTAGCTGAATAAAATTGCTATAAACAAAAAGGAGATATAGGCATGCAATTTTAGAAGTTGAAATTCTACCTATCAATTTTGCAATTAATCACAGAAATTTGGACTTTTATAGTATTTTGGCACTTGAATTTGAACATTTGACCTTTAGTCACTGATACCAGGCATGTACTCTGAGTAAAACCCGTATCTGGGTCTTTTTTACTCCCCCCCCCCCAAACTTTAATACTGTCACAGAAATAACTTTTTCTTCAAGCAAATAAAGTAACACACACACACACACACACACACACACACACACACACACACACTGGGTCATCATATACATCTGGAGGCAAGTAGCTAGAAGGACAGAAACTCTTGCAAGAAATTATGAGGCTAAGTAAAATAGTGTTTTTATCTCTTCTTTCTCAGTTTCTGGGACTTAGTTTTGTGCTTCTCTTTAATGTGAAACAAAAACAAACAAAGAAAAAGTTATGAAAACAGTGGTTTTGTGGCTTTTCTTATTATGATAAGATTCATAAACAGGTCTAGGAAAATAGCATGGATTTTCTCCTACAACTCACAACTAGTCTGGCTAATTGTTTAAAGTAAATGATTTAATAAGGTAAAGACTAACTCTGTAATGAAAACTATTGTAGAGACTTCAAAAGGAGAAGGTAGGAGGAGCATAGCTGTTTCACACTTCGAGGAAAAATTGTGCTATGAAATATATCAGATAATCTTCCAGTGAGAACATATGGTTGCCGTATGAATAAGAGCTGAATCCTTGTTCTCTCTCTTTTTCTATCATCTTGTTTGTAAACAGAACAGAAGAATAATAGGAATTAAAGTCCAAAACATTTTCATAGCTCTAGCAATCACTATAAACATAACTAGAACACCGGAATAAATCATATTTGCATGGAGCTTGAATATGAATGGGTCCTTCTACCTCTAGCTATATATATTGTCATCCTTACTGGAGACTGAATTTCTCTAAAATGTAGCTCTCTTTATTAAAACTGAGCATAGCATTAATTAGGAGCTACTATCTGAGAAGAAAGATGAAAGTCTCAAAAACCCCAACAAAAAGCAGTGGAAGTCACAATCTGAGCAACCTTGCATTCTCCGTTGATACAGATATCCAGTGAATCCGCATTGCACTGAGTCCCATCAATCACCGCAGGGGCACGTTCAGTGTAGAAATTGTAACCTTCAGCCAGGCAGTTTAATGCACAAGGTTTTACCCCACCTGGACAAATATGGTAGAAGAGAAATAAATGAAGTGGTTCTCCTAAGGAACAGTGATTCAATACTAGCCATAAGAAATTTACACTTCATATAGACATCATTCCCTGACTATATATCTAGATGTATAGATTTCTTTCTTCCTTTGCTAAAATTTCATGTTTATTTTCATTGCTAGTGCAACTTGATGGAGAACCTGCTGTGTAGTTTTAAGGTTTAAAATGTTCAGATATTTCCAATATATAATAACAATGTATTTTAGGTCAAAATGGATCACAGTGGAGGTAACTGAATGTTAAAAAAAATGGATGAAATAAAAATTATCTAAAAAACTAACTAAGAAAATAAAGTCTAAGGAGGCTTGAGACAATAACTTCATATAAAAAATAGGAGTTTTCTGCAATACATGCCACTGGTTACTGAAGCTGATACAAAAACTCTGCTACTTCAAGCAGGGATATGGTGGTTGCAAAATAAAACTAAATTTGCACCACATTCCATGAACGTGGCTTTAGGATGAAGATAAATTCTTAAGAGATTAGCAAATCAAAGATAAAATGAATTATAGCATTAAATTTGAGTCATTCTTATGAGATTAACAAATCAAAGATAAATATTACACACAGCATTAAACTTGAATAATTAAAAATATCTAATTTTATTTTGTGAATAAGTGCATATAATGAAACTTAAACATTTTCATTTTGTCCTCGAAATTTGTATTTTTTAAGATTGATATAAAAAAAGGCATAAATAGTAGCAATGTAAAAAAACAAGCAGAGTACATATCATAACCTCATAGTATACTGGAAAAGTATCAGTAAATATGGATTTATCTTATTCAGAACAGTGCATGAAAAAGCTACTTATAAACATATAACTACTGATTGAAATTATGACTTAAAAGTACTTTCTGTTGAAGATTTATTTCATGAAGTTTAAAATACTTTGACCCTATTCTAATTATGCTGAAAAAATTTCTCTTCAAAGTGAAGACTACTTCTCATAAAGCAAACAAGGCAGAAAGATGAAATGACATGCCTAGTCTCAGCAAAGGTAGAAACCAGGTTTCTGCAGGGTAAAGGTATGTGAAATAAAAGAAAGAAGCCAACGGAGTGGTGGAGACGATGATAAATTAGAGAACATTCCATCAAAGATCACTGTTACAGTTGATTGTTGTCATGCAAGAAGATTGCCCAATATTGTCAGAAATTCTGTTTTTTCAAGAGACAATGAAAACCTAGATTTTAAAATATAAACTCTTCCTGGGAACTCATTCAAAGTTTTCAAAAATACTGTGAAGGATAAACATGTAAGTAAGTAAAGACTGGTGCCTGAGCTGTCAGTTTACAACCTCTGGCCCAAGTCCACGTTTTCTTCCATTTTCAATGTCTAAAGGCTATATAACTTGTAATATTATTATTAGGCTTAGGTTAATGATATACTTTGCTGTACTGAGCACAGAAAGTAACAAGTAATTAATGTCTTCCTCAACTGATAATCAAGGTATTTATATTTATTTTTGTAAGAGTCTTACAAATAAAACTGCTCTAAATTTCCATGAATCTTACAGTGATTTTTTTCATCATTACCCGATAGAGTTCTCCCATTTTTAATTGCAATGCTTTGGAATTTAATGTATAAGTCTTTTAATGTGTAAGCTTTTAATATATAAGTCTTTAAACAGAGAATATGAGCCTTTTGTTTACTCAGTTTTAACATTACATTAATTATGTAAGGCAGTATTTGATAGGCAGGACATATAATTGCTATGGATGTTTTCCTTAACCCACTACACTACATGATGATAATAGGAACAAATTTCTTTTTTTGTTGCTGAAGATATGTTCAGCTCCCTCTGCTACAATGAATTTTCAGAAGAGCTACTGCTATTATTTCAAGAAGGGATTTAAGATGATTCTCTAAATGGAAGGTCATATTACCAATTACCTTCAGTTAAAGCTTATTATGAATTTAGGTTCATTCACTAAGCACATAATTATGTAAAGACTAATTATTAAATCTGTGAATTACTTGAGACATCTATTTCTTCTCCTACTACAGTAAAACAAAACAATCCCAAATGCAGAGGCACTTAATAAGAGCAATTAAAAATACATGGAGCAAAAATTCATAAAAAGGAAAGCAAAGCCAAATAATAGTTGGAAATTTGAACACAGTTCTCTCAGTATTTGATAGAAGAACTAGAGCAGAAAAAAGTCACAAAGAATATAAAAGATTTGAACAACACAATCAGCCAGCTCAACCTCTTGGATATCTACAGAACACTATATCCAGCAATTGCAGAAAACACATTCTTTTCAAGTATATGTAGAACATTCACCAACATGGAAAATAAGCTGTATTATAAAGCAAATCTCAATACTTTAAAAATTTAAATCATACAGAGTATTCTTGTATCATAACAGAATTAAATTATAAATCAGTATAAAAAAATGTAGAAAATTATCAATTATTTTGAAATAAAAATAACATAGTTCTAAATAACCCATGGGTCAAAGAAGAAATCACAACGTAAATGAGAAAATATTTTGAACTGAAGGAAATAAAAAACACATCAAATTTTGGGAATGCAGAAGAGTAAAATAAACCCAAAATAATAAATATAGAACAAAAATTAATGAAAGAGAGAAAAGACAGTAATAAAGTATAAAGCTAAAAGTTGATTCTTTGAAAAGATTAATAAAATTGATAAACCTCAACAAGACTTATCAAGAAAAAGAGATAAAACACATATTATCAACACATATACCAGAAATGAAAGAGCATACATCACTACAGATTGCATGATATTAAGTAGGATAATAAAAGAATGTTACGATCGATTTTCTGTCAATAAATTGGACACCACAGAAGGAATAAATCTCTTTCTCTCTCTCTCTTTTTTTTTTTTTTTGAGGAAGATTAGCCCTGAGCTAACATCTGCTGCCAATCCTCCTCTTTTTGCTGAGGAAGATTGGCCCTGAGCTAACATCTGTGCCGATCTTCCTCTATTTTATATGTGGGACGCCTACTACAGCATGGCTTGCCAAGCGGTGCCATGTCCCCACCCGGGATTCGAAATGGCAAGCCCTGGGCTGCTGAAGGGGAACGTGAGAACTTAACCGCTGCACCACCAGGCCGGCCCCCAGAATAAATCTCTTGAAGACACAAACTCAAAAACTGACATAAGAATTTTTAAAAATCTGAATAGCCCTTTATCTATTAAAAGAGTTGAATTTGTAATAATTTTTGAGGAAGATTAGCCGTGAGCTAACTGCTGTCAATCCTCCTCTTTTTGCTGAGGAAGGCTGGCCCTGAGCTAACTTCCATGCCCATCTTCCTCTACTTTATATGTGGGATGCCTACCATAGCATGGTGTGCCAAGTGGTGCCATGTCTGCACCCAGGATCTGAACCGGCGAACCCCAGGCCGCCGAGAAGTGGAACATGTGCACTTAACTGCTGTGCCACCGGGCTGGCCCCTGCAATAATTTTTTTCACAAAGAAAATACCAAGCCTAGGTTATTTCACTAGTAAAATCTACTCTAAGGAAGAATAATACCATGCTACAAACTCTCTCAAAATAAATAAAGATTCTATTTCTGGAAGCCAGAGTAACTCTGATACCAAAACTTGTCAAAGACATGACAAGAAAAAATTTACAAATCAGTATTCCTTATGAACATAGATGCAAACATCCTTAATAAAATATTAGCAATTAGGGGCCAGCCGGTGGTGCAGTGGTTAAGTGCACACATTCTGCTTCTCGGCAGCCCAGGGTTCGCCAGTTCGGATCCTGGGTGCGGACATGGCACTGCTTGGCAAAAGCCATGCTGTGGTAGGTGTCCCATGTATAAAGTAGAGGAAGATAGGCATGGATGTTAGCTCAGGGCCAGTCTTCCTCAGCAAAAATAAAAGAAAAAGAGGATTGATAGTAGTTAGCTCAGGGCTAATCTTCCTCAAAAAACAAAAATACGAGCAATTAAATCCAGTAACATATAAACAGATAATAAATCATCACCACATGGGGTTTATCCTGGGAATAAAAGGTGGGTTTGACATTATAAAATCTATCAAGTAATTGACAACATTAACAGAATAAAGAAGAAAAACACATACAATCAATACATGCACAAATTGTCCTGAAGGGCCAAGCCAGTTCATTAAGGCAAGAAAATGAAATAAAAGGCATAATGATTAAAATAGGTAGTCTCTATTTCTAAATAAAATGACTGTTTACCAAGAAAATCCTAAGCCATCCACAAACAACTATTAGAACTAATAAAGGAATTTAGAAAGGTCATAGAATACAAAGTAAATACAGATCTTCCTGGACTTATGATGGGGTTACATCCCAATAAACCCATAGTAAATTGAAAATGGAAGTCGAAAATGCATTTAATATACCTAACCTACAGAACACCATAACTTAGCCTAGGCTTCCTTAAATGAGCTAAGAACACTTACATTACCCTATAGTTGGGCAAAATCATCTAACGCAGAGCCTATTTTACAGTAAAGTATTGACTATCTCATGTAATTTATTGAATACTGTATTGAAAGTGAAAAACAGAATGGTTGCATGGGTACAGAATGGCTGTAAGTTTATTGGTTATTTACCCTCGTGTTCGCAAGGCTGACTGGGAGCTGTGCTCGCTGCCGCTGCCCAGTATCAGGAGAGAGGATCATACACATACAGCTGGCCCAGGAAAAGAGCAAAATTCAAAATTCAAAATATGGTTTCTACTGAATGCATATTGCTTTCACATCTTTGTAAAGTCAAAAAGTTCTAAGTCAAACCATCTTAAGTCGGGACCATCTGTATACAAAAATAAATTTTATTTTTATATATGAGAGAAAACAATTGAAAATGAAAATGTTTTAAACCTTATTTACAATGGTGTCAAAAAACATAAATTACTATGCAATAGATTTAACGAAAGATGTGCAAGACCTTATGAGGAAAACTACAAAACATAGTTGAGAGATAAAAGAACACATAAGTAAATGAAGATATATACCATGTTTATAAATTGGAAAATTCAATATTGTTAATTTATCAGTTCTCCCTCAATTGATCTATAGATTCAACACAATAGCAATCATAAGCCCAGCATGTTTTTCTGTAGAAATTAACAAATAATTCTAAAATTTATATGGAAATGCAAAGCACTTAGAGTATCCAAAGAACTCTTGAAAAAAGGATCAAAGTTGAAGGAACTTACACTACCCATGTCCAAGACCATACATTACAGTAATTAAGTCAATGTGGTACTAACATAGGGTTGACAAATAGATCAATGAAAGAAAATAGAGTCTATAAATACACTACAAATACACACCATAACCCCCAAATTATTTTCAGATTGTAGATCTAAATGTAAAGACCAAAGCCATATGGCTTTTAGAAGAAACCACAAGAAAATATCTTCTTGAGTTGAAGTAGGCAAAGATTTCTAAGACAGGACAAGAATACAATAACCATAAAGAAAAAAATTGAAAAGTTAGAATTCATCAAAATGAAAATCTTGTACTCATCCAAAACACCACTAAAAAAGTACCAGGAAAACCACAGACTGAGAAAATATTTGTAAAACTTATCTGATAAATGACTACCACTTGAGAATAAAAAGATAAATAACCAATTAAAAACCAGGCAAAGGATATGAATAGGCACTTTGCTAAGGAGGATAGAGAAGTGGTCACTAAGCACATGAAAACATGCTCTACATAATCAATGACCAGAAAATGAAAATGAAAATTACATTGAGACACCATTATACATCCACCAGAAGAAGATTGAAAACATCAAATGTTGCCAAGGATGTCGAACAAACAGAACTCTCCTACATTGTTGGTGGGAGTGTGATAGTGTACAATCACTTTGGAAAAACATCTGACAGTTTTTTTTAAAACTAAACTCACACCCACCCTACTGCCCAGCAATTCCGCCCCTAAGTTTTTACTCAAGAAAAATGAAACTATATGCTCATAAAAAGAGTCGCACACAAATATTCACAGCAGCTTATTCATAACAACTTAAAACTAGAAACAACCCAGGTGTCCATCAGTAGTAGAATAGAAAAACAAACTGGTTATTACAATGGAATACTGCTCAGCAATAAAAAGGAGTAAACTAGTGATACATGCAATAACATGGATGGATCTCAAAAACAGGCTTAAAGAAGCCTTGCGCAAAAGAGTAAATATGACATGATTTCATTTATATGAAGTTCTGCAACAGGCAAAACTAATCTATGGTAAGAAAAAAAATCAGAACAGTGGTTACCTCTTGGAAGAAGTAGGTAGAAGCAGCTATTGACTGGGTAGGACTATGAGGACTATGAGAATTTTGGAGGTAATGGCAATGTTCTATATCTCAACAGGTTTTTACAGGTGTATGCGTTTGTCAAAATTCAGGGAAAGTACACTTAAGATTTGTGCATTTCATTGTACATAATCTTAACTCAAAAGAAAAAAGTAAATAAATACTGAACTGTGGTTAATGTTATATATGCTGAAGTATTTAGAGGAAAGTATACTAATGACTACAATTTACTTTGAAATGCATAAAAAAATAGGATAAATTAATGAATGGACAGAGAGATGATTAGATGTAACAAAAAAAAGCACACTAAAATGTTAATAGTAGAATCTTGGTGGTGGGTATAACGTCTCACTGTAAAATTCTTTTAATATTGTTCTATGTTAGAAAAATTTCAAAGTAAGATGTTGGAAAAATATACAAACAATAAACAGTTTTAAAAAGCACATTCAATTTTTTCAAGAAAAAATTTTAACAAAATTTAGTTTGCATTTTGGGAGCATAAGAAAACTTTTTGTACTTACAGAAAAATTAGTGTATGATACATGACCAAGTTAAAGAGCAAAAATGTTTCCCAACACTAAAAAAGAATAATAAAAATCTATGGAAAGATCCTTGGCCTTTGACCAAGAAAGAACACAGATTTTTCTGGCCTCTTTTGAGTTTATTTACATTGTTATAATTTGTTTTTAGCATGATAATTCCAAATATTCGATGATTATAAATGATTATAATGTAATGTCCATATACCCCAAGGAAGTCTCAAAAACGCTGAAATATTATTTGGATTTATATCCTTTCTAGGACTTTTGTACTTGCTAAAGAGAATTAGGTTTTTAAAAATTATTTCTGATCATCTGTACTAACATATAAACTTTATTACAAGGAAACTAAAATGTGAGATTTGCTTAGTACTATAAGCACTTTCCTGCTTTGATTTGCAAACACTAATTTTTACTAGTATGTGTATGAATGTATGTGTGTGTTTGTATGTATTTATATATTCTTTTATATTTGCAAAGCTCTCAAGCATGATGAATGCTCTGCCAGGTTATACATTACCTCCAGTATAGGGTTTCCAGTTATAATACTTTCCACGGAAAGGCATATTGTCAAAGTCTGCACACTGTTTCTCTCGAAAATCTCGGGCCCCCAAAGGACATGGCTAAAATAAAATAAAATCATAAATGGTACGATTGTTGAAAAATACCAAAACCAAGGGACAATGTCCCTAAAATTAAAATTGCCTGAACTCCATCACATTAGCTCACTGCCTTACTCTCTGGCTATAATTCTGGCATTTGCTTTACTGTTTTAACAACCAGTATTCAGACTGAAGTGTCTGAATTGTAATCTCAGTCACAGAAGAAATAACTGAAGTAATTTAAACAAAGTTAAGTGTTAGACAGTTTCCATATAAATTTTCACTTAGATGCATGTCATAGTCCACTTTGCAATCAATCCGTCAGGTATCTCCTAATAAACATACATAAAAACTTGGTGAAAAAAAGTAAAACATAAAATCCTTTTCGGTTAACAGTATTTGAGGTCCAGCTGCCACAGCTACTCTTGCCTCTTTACTTAAGGAATCAAGAGGCAGATTTGTAACATGACATTCAGCACTATTAATTGTGGTTTGGATCCCTCCTCCTATAACTGTTTACTGTCTAGGTCTGACAAAAAACATATTTTAAGACATGGAATGAACTGGGCAAAATGCTAGGCCTCAAGTCTAAACACCTTCAAATTCAAGGAATTTGGACTTATTAAGATTTATGTTTAATCTATTAACATCATAGAAAATAAAATACTAAAATTGGTTCAAAACATGTACATGTGTAGGGTGAGGGGAGAGAAGGATGTTGAGAGGGTGAAGAGAGGATTATTTGTTTTTAAAAGATTGGAATGCTTCTTCTACCTGAATTTTTTAACGTGGAAAATCTTGCCAATCTAGCTAGGTCTAGATTCCAAATACTAGAGAACTATCCTAAATTAAATCTTTAACTTCACAAAGAATTAAAAGTATAATCTCACAGTGTTTGAGCAGTATGACCTAATTTGACCTATCTTTTAGAGTTCTGCAGCTGGAGCACTTAAAAAACAAAGTTACTGCTTTTGAAACACTGACTGAGAAAACATTCCCTTTAAATATGGAAGAACAAGTCAATAATAAAATTCTTAATTGTGACTAAACGATGAGTATGTTACAGACATTCTCAGAGATCACTTTGAAGACTTGTTGCTACCCTCCCTTGGATCTCTACATTAACTTGATACAGTTCTCTAAGGTCAGTACATTGGAAACAGTCCCTTGAAGCATGTGTAAAAATAATAGACCACAATGTACAAATCATTGCTTGGTCATCATTACTTCCTGTATACTGTGGTTCAAATTTCTACCATATCAAGTCCAAAGCCTCAGATTCTGAAAATAGTGGCAGCAGGTATACACTCTGTTATGAGCCCTGCATTTAAAAATATTTTCTGCATATTAAAATATGACACTGCAACCACAAACCTAACGATTCTGCTTGTCAAACTACCATTCTTGCTTGCCTTTGAAGAAAATGAAAAATAAATATTTACCATAGGCTACATAGTGCATCATGCTGGGAGGATATGTTTCCAGGGTCTTTTGCTTCATGGTGTGCTAATCTTTGGATGGAAAGAATGCTTTCCTTTTCTAGCCATTTTCAGGGAATCCCACATGAGGACTAAAGATGTCAGTGGGTTTGCCATTGTAGCAAGACTAGTTTTTAAGCAAATATCATCAATTTAAAAAAATACAAGTAACTTGAACACTAGCTACAAGTTTTCACATAATAACTAAGTACTTGTAAAGCACCGACCACCTAAAAGTTTATCTAAGCATGGCTTTCAATCTAGTTGGAGAAACATCATACAGATGAAAAACTACAGTCCTACTTCCGGCAATATGTCTATGACAGCGTGTTACAGATTGTCTATAGGTGCTATATATAGATGAAAGATCAATGTGTCTTGTGATTAGCTAAGAAAATATTTGTTGAGGAAGAAAATCTTGAGTGGATTATAAGAAGTATAATAAAAGTATTATAAATACTTATTCTTTGTAATATTATAAAGTATTATAGGAATTGAGCTGGTTAAGAAAGAAAAAGGACTTCTGGGGGAAAAACTATTAAGAATGAAGTCAAGTAAAGCTATGGAGACAGCAAGGAAAAGGTCATATGTTGGGAACAGTTGGATAAAGGCCATTTTAGATGAAAGAAAGGAACTGTATGAAAGCATAAGAGGAGATGACATTTCATAGATAAGCACTGGTACATAAAAAAGCCCTGAATTAACAAACTAAAGCATCATGAGGGCCATTCACTTAAAAACAAACAAAACAAAACTCCTGTTTTGACTATCTTGTAATGATTTTCCTAAACAGAAAAGACTTAAAAGGTCCAATAGGAGCTTTACTACTGTTTAACGAAGCACTTGGATAATATTTCATAAGGTTTCTGATCTACTCCTTTCCTGTGATAACCACTCCGAGGGTCAGCATAATAAAAATATTAATAATGACAACAGCTACTTAGCATTTACTAAGCACTTAGTAGGTACCTACTCTGTGTCACACTGTTCAGAGGTCTCCAGATGTATTATCTACTTAATCTCTCTCAACACTCCTTTGAGGTAGATAGGATCAATAATCCCATTTTACAACAAAGTAAACTGGGTACAGAAAGGTTGCTTAGCAATAGTATCAGAGAGCAAGAACACCTCCCTCATCTGAGGGGGAGCTTCTTCTGGACACTCTCTAAATGCCACAATAACCGCACAAAGTTTTAGCTCTGTTAAGATGTGCAAAAACCTAATAGGAGAAACTTGGGTTCTAGACCTAGGCCTGTCTTTACCAGCTGCAAGTTTCTCATCTTCTCCAAACTACTTTTTTTCTCATTTATAAAATGAGAGAGCTAAAACTAAGAATTCTGGAGTTAGACAGACTTGGATTCAATTCTATCTCGGCCATTTATTTAATTCATGGCCTTGTGCAATGCAAGCCTCATCTATAAACTGAGGATAATACTAGTATTTACCTTCTAGGTGAGGACTCACATAAACTGTTTAGCTCTGTATCTGGCATACAGCAGCACTCAGTAACTACTAGCAGCTGTGCTGATCTTGGGTCTAGGCATCCTTGGATTCATTCCTCACCCTTCTGCTCTGCTCTGTATTTCAGGGAAACAAACTCTACAAGTTCCATTTCCCAGACTTCTGTGTCAGCTGACTTCTGGTTGGGTTCAGGCAACGGAAGGCACTAGTAGGAGAAGCCAGGGTATTTCTCTGATTTCCTCTCTACCTCAGGCAGTATCTTAGGCAGAAGCAGAATCTTTTTGTGGCTCCAACTTCAGGCAATATCCCCGACTCCCACTCCATCCTATGGTCCCAGCTTCTGCTGTATGATTCCAGCCTCTGGGCTTTGATAAAACTACCTCCTGCCTGTGTCTTCCCGGTAGGAGTGGTGGCATCTTCCTGCTGACACTGATCTATGGGCTTGTCAGCCGCTTCCATCATCCATGTAACCAATGTGCAACAAATTTTTTCATTAAATTCCTTCTATTTAAATATTCAGAGTTGTTTCTATTATTATGGTTGAATCTTTACTGATACAACAATCAGTAATAATAATAGTGATGACGATGATGATGAAGTACTTGAGAGACTGAATAGAGATACATTTTCATGTGTTATTTTTTGCAGTTTATTGGTTAAGGGCAGAAGTTAGCAAACTTTTTCTGTAAAGGGCCACTTGGTAAATATTTTAGGCATTGTGTGCCATACAGTGTCTGTTGCGACCACTCAGCTGTGCCATTATAGTGTGAAAAAAACATAAACAATACATAAATGAATGGTCAGGGTTGTGTTCCAATAAAATTTTATTTACAAAAAGAAGTCAGGGCCAAATTTGGCCCAGGAGGTGCAATTTGCCAGCCCCTGACTTAGGGTGTTAACATAATAGATACATCTGTCTGGCAGAATTTTGCAGTAGAACTAAACTCCATTATTAATTTTTGAGTCAATAGAGAATCATCTACTTTTAAGAACTGATGTTAGAGGTAATATAACCTAATCTGCATAAGATGCTTAAATTTCCTCTACAATTATCCCCAAAGTGTTCCTATAATCTGTGTAAACATCTACAGAAATACCAAATACTTTTCAGACAGCTGCAATTATTATCAGGTTCTTTCTTACTTTCAGCCAAAATCTGCTTCCTATAACCCAGTGTCTTGCTCCTTTCTTCTAGAGTCACACCGAACAAATCTAATCCCTGACTCAAAGGCGTCCAGACCTTGAAGGCTTTCCTATGGGCACATCATAACTTATCATTAGTCTTCTTAAAACCAGGCACCAAGAACCAGCCTTCAGTGTCTTTTCCTTTATTCAGTAAACATACATAAAATGCTTACTATGTGTCACCTATTATCCAGGCTCTGGAGATAAGGCAATAAACAAAACAGATTAGGTCCCTTCTTTCATGGAGCTCACTCTGTTGAAGACGTGAAAGAAGAAAAATAAAGCAAGATACCGAGATTGATAGTGAGGCAGGAGAGAAGTTGTTGTAAATAACATGGTCAGAAAAATTCTCTCTGATAAGGGGGCACACCCGAGCAGAGAGTTAAAAGAAACTGAGGGAGTGACCTATGTACACATCTGTGAAAAGGGCGTTCCAGGAAACAGTAACTGCAAAGGCCCTGAGGCAGGAGTGTGTTTAGGATGTTCATAGGATAGCTTGGAGGATGGAAGGGCTTAAGGCAATTGTAGTAGACTTGGGGACCTGATCCCATGCTTTTCTATTTCTAGACTATATCAAGCTAACGTTCTATTCTTTTGCTTTAAATCCTTCCTTCAGTGAATGCTCTGAATTTGTGTTGATTAGAAAAAAGCTCAGTAGGAGTTGTATATGCTGGTTTCAAAGAATGAGAGCGATTAAGGAAAAGGGTAATTTCTTAAGGAAAATTACATAAAATATATTTTTGTTTTGTTTAGGAATAGTGGAGAGTTTAGGGAGTAATGCTTTTTAAATTACTTGAGGATAATAAGTGCTGACACCATGCAGAAACCCTAACAGAAAACAGTGGGCATAGCAACAAGTTTTTTATGTAAAGCCTGACAGGTTTTCAGCCTCCTAGT